ACTTTGGACAGGAAAAAATGATCAACAAAAAACGAAGAAAAACTGAAGGAGAAGAAGAGAAGGTGTTCGACGAAACTCCAAAGAGAGGGAGGAGAGAGAAACCAAGCAAACCAAAGAGAGAGAATCAGAGAGAGAGAGGGTTGTAGGTCCTCCCACGAGTGTTCGGTGTTGCCCTAGACGGCGGAGCGTCGGCGAATCGTGAGTTGATCATGACCTCCCCTCTCCGTTCCAGTCAGAAAAGGCTGACCGTGAAGGCCTGAAACCGGGCATTTTCCGGTCAATCTTGACATGTTCTTGCGAATCCAAGAGCACCAGGAGGAAGACCAAGTGTCAAGGAACGATCTTTGTGGCGCGGATCACTTCAACAATTTCATTTAATCATCAGACGAAGAAGGTAAATATCGCTCACGATCATTCTTTTAGAAATCCTAGAATAGTGTTTTCGTTTGTTTGTGCATGTTTTTCTATGATTTTACTATATTAGGTGCCTAAAATGTGTTCTAATCGGGTTTTACTTTGTTTGATTGCATTTTTGATTGAAAAATATGCATAAACCACCTCGGTCGTCTCTTAAACCTCCTCGTCGGAAACCTCGAAGCTTCGCCGGAGCACCACCCGCGGTAAATGGCCGCTCAAGTTAGCTTTTCTCAACTTTGTTTGATGTTTTTGATAATCATTAGACTCGATATAGATGACTAGGGCGATTAGGACTGGGATTTATATTCTGAAAAATCCATGTTTGAATAGTTTACAAATTAGGTTGTTTAGACCGATTTTTTCGCTGGCCGGCGAACGTCCGGCGGCGATCCCATTAGGCTAGATTGATACTAGAACATGTGAACTTGATAATAGTGTAATCGGAACGGCGAGATAGTTGCCGAAAGGTCGCCAGCGGTGGGCTCAAAGTCGCGGCCTCGAGAACGTTTAATACTAAATCATGCCTACTTAGTGTTTGTGAAAATGCTTAAATGAAAAAAGGCCAAAACGGCGCCGTTTTTTGCGTCGTGCCCACCGGAAGGGATGACCAGCGACCGGCGCCGGCGACGCTCGATTCGGCCAAGCCAAACCGGGCCGAACCGAGCCGGTCCGATTCGTTTCCCTGGCTAGAAAATTTTAAAAAATTTCTAAAAAAAATAAAAAATCAGAAAATTCTAAAAAAATAAAAAAATCATAAAAAAATTAGAATTTTAGAGTTTTTTTTTCAGAAAATCAGAAAATTAGAAAAATTCAGAAAATTAAAAAAAATTCAGAAAATTAAAAAATTTACAGAAAATTCATAAAAATTCAAAAAAAAATTAGAAAATTCATAAAAATTCAGAAAATTCGAAAAATAAAAATAAAAAATTTGAAAATTTTTGTAAAATCAATAAAAAATTAAAAAATTGGAAAATTCATAAAGATTTTCGGAAAACCATAAAAAATCAGTTCTCAGTTTTAATAAAAAAAAATTTCAAAAAAAAAATCAAAAATCAAAAATTTTGAAAGTTCACAGAATGGTCCAAAATCATCGTGGCCAGCCATAAAAATTGAAATTTGAATTTTTGTAAGTGCCCAAGTGGCATTTTTGAAAAATTCCAAATTCAGGGGTTATAACTCCTAAAAAACCCTAGAACCCTAAAAATGTGTGAATCATGAAATGAACAAGCTTTTAGAGCTTTATTAGGGTTTAGGTTGTTTTGATTGATCTTCGTTTTAGAGACCATTTAGGATTGATTGACTTGATTGATTTTAATGGTGCATTTAATACTTGTTTGGTCTTTCCTGCGATTAGAAAGGATAGGATTAATGGGTAAGCCTCGGAAATTCGCATGACACGATAGACGTCATATTGTTCTTAGGTACCGAAAGGGCGTTAAGGATCTCAATTTGGGATCAATAACATAACCAAGTCCTCATACTCAGAATCTCTGGTTCGTAGGATCGAGATATTTCTCTCGTACCTCGATTAGGTTTCTAGTCTACCTACCAATAATGACTAGTGGCGACTCCAAAATCACAAATTTAGAAATCACCTTCCACTGTCATGTGGGGTATGGTCTGAGAGAGACCCTTATACGGAAATAGCTCATTAGCGCGCAAATCCCGAAAAAAAACCCCAAAAAGCGCAGCGCGACACAGTACAAGTTTAATGTTGAAGTACTCTCAACTAGAGAAGATCTCGTCAGAACCGAGAAACGGAAGAATGATGGGTTCAGATCCTATGCTCAGAGATGGAAAGCTATTGCGTCATAAGTAAAGCCCGCCATAAGTGAAGATGAGCTCATTGAGCTCTTTCTAAAATCATTGCCAATTGAGTATTATGACAAACTTCATATATCAGGCTGTCAAACATTTACCATGTTGGTAAAAATGGGTGAGAGTATTGAATGGGGATTGAAAGAGAAGAAGGCTCAAGAAACAACAGCACGAAGGTCTTATCCTGGGAAAAAAGACAAAGAGCCCATCCGAGAAGTGGCTATTGTGTCTAGCCCAAATACTCATCAAGCATCATTTCCAAAGCAATCAAATGTCGCTTGAAAAAACTCAAGGCAGTTCGAGCTAAATAAAAGGCCCGTGAGGCAATACACACCGTTGCCCCGACCCCTGTCAAAGTTATTACCAATGCTTCTAGAAAGGCATTTGGTGGCTAAAGAAGTACTGAGAGACAATCCTACAAGATTTTCTTGGTACGATGAATTAAAAACCTGCACCTATCACATGGGAGAAAGGGGACATTATGTAGATAATTGTCCCACTCTAAAGTACAAGGTTCAACAGCTCATTGACAAGAAGATATTGAACTTCCAAGAGCCCGAGCTAAATGTACATCAGAATTCTCTTCTTGAGCATAATACAGTAAACATGATCAAGGATGAAGAAATAGTGATCAAATCTGACAGTGAAGATGAATATGAGGCCAAGATTAAAGCTTATCATTTAGTAGGTGCCTGCTTTCGTTAAGAAGCACTCCCAAAAGGCGAGATTATAGACAACTTGGGAGAAGACTCCGGAAAATATAACTTCCAAGTAAAATATACCCCACCGCCATGGGCATTCAAAAATGAGGTAATTATGCCTGAAGGCTGGAGTGGTATGGATGACGAAACCAGCCCTGAGAAGAAAGCCCTATCTAAGAAGGAAATGTTCCAAGATGAAATAGATAAAGATAAAAAGGAGAAAGAAAAAGTTCGACAGGGTGAAAGGCATTTCACCCAGAAATCATTCAGGGAAGGCGAAACCGTAGACTTACTCGGTCAAGATAGCGGTAAATACAATTACCGTGTCAAATATACTCTACCACCATGGGCATTCAAAAATAAAAACATAGTACCGGATGGATGGGTTGGCATGGACGAGGTCCCGATCAGCCAACTAAATCTCGAAGAGAATGAAGATCGGGAAGAGAAAAAGAAGAAAAAAACTCGCCAAGGTGATAGGCGATTTGCTCGTAAAGCACGAAAACAAGGTGAAGTTGTTGATTTTCTGGTTCAAGATAGTGGCCGGTATAATTACCGTGTCAAATATATACCCCCTCCATGGGCATTCAAGAAGGAAATAATCACACCTGATGGCTGGGGTGGAATGGATGCTGACGAAGCCAATACGAGCATGGTATCCATGATTACAACATTTCTGATCAAGCTTGATGAGATAGATAAATATAAGGAGGAGGAGGGTCTTGTCGAACCGATCACTATCCAACTTCCCATTGATCAACTAAGGATTGAAGGAGAAGAAACACAGCCTGTGATTATCACTCTCCCTAAAAAAAAAAGTTTGATACTAAGTGTGTATCTTGGGATTACTCTCCCAAAGAAGTTGATGCTATAACCTGATCGAGGAGATGCAATGTCCCGAAAGAAGGTGAGCACGAAAAGAAAGGAGTAACCGAAGAAGATGTCAAATAATTGCTTTTAGTCATGAAGACGAGCGAATTTGAGGTAATTGAACAACTAAGAAAGATGTCGGCATAAATTTCTCTGTTGGATCTTTTCAAGACTTCAGAAAGTCATAAAATGGTGCTTATGAAGCTTTCTCAATGAAGTGCATGTCCCGGAGACAATTAATGAAGTACAATTGGAAGACTTTATTGGCACTATTCTTCTGAAAGATCAAATTGCCTTCTCCGATGAAGATTTCCCAATTGATGGGCGTTCCCATAATAAGGCTCTGTATATTGCCGTCAAATGCCGGGGCAAGGAGGTGTCACGTTTGTTGATCGATAATGGTTTCGCACTTAATTTGTGTCCACTAAGCACACTATATCGCTTGGGGATTAGCGAAGAGCTCATCAAACCTTCTAAGGTAACTGTGCGTTCGTTTGATGGAATGAAGAAAGATGTCATTAGCGATATCGAGCTCGAGGTGAACATAGGCCCTGTGCTTTTCTTGATTAACTTCCAAGTAGTGGATATTCCGAGGAATTTTAACTTGATACTCAGAAGACCTTGGATTTATATGGCTAGTGCCATTCCTTTAAGTCTCCATCAGAAGGTCAGGTTCGTCATTAATGGCAAGATGATCACCGTACATGGGGAGACCGATTTCACCACTTATAAAGAGAGTTCAATACCGTATGTCGAACCCAAAGTGAAAGAAGAACCAAGTTATCATTCCTTCGAAATGATCTCAATGGTGCAAATTCCTGTGGGTTGCATCGTAAAATCCCCAGAGTTCTCAACACCATCCATTATGTCTAGAAGGGTGTTATACCGGTATGGATTTACTCCCGGTAATGGTCTTGGATTGAAATCGTAAGGAATCAAAGAACCTATCACTCCGCTTGCTACAAGAATAAAACACGGAGTAGGTTATATTCCAGATAGCTCTAAAGATCACCATGGAGGCCAAGGCCGAGGTCAAAAGAACCATGGAGGCTGTAGAAGCCGAGGTGATCACATCATTAATCCGTCCGTATGGAAGGGCAAAGCTAAAGAGCTTCCCTATTATTAGATCCACATCAAGGAAACTTTTCCTAGACCTTCCAAGCTACTTCAAGAAGAAGACTTACATGCAGAGTGTCACGCCCCGAACCTCATCGAGCTCGTGGCATCCCTCTTTGATCGAACTAGTGCGACGTCCCAGGAAACGACGCCTACCCAAACTTGCATATCAGAGATAAAGCACTAGCGAAAGCCACAAGCACCCAGACAATATTTAACTAGGGGTAAAAGGGAGAATATACATCCATCACAAATTCAAACTTATACAATATCCACCATTTACAATCCACATAATATACATGCACACCGAGCTACTAGAGTTTACACCACCGACGGCAAAAGGATCAGCAGCCTGGGCAAACCCTAACTCCAAAAATAGGACACTACAAAACCTTCATTCTACCCCTAAAACTAGCCTCTACGCCCCTTGGATGGCGTCCACTCCGAGTCCGATTCCCCAGAACCCAAGTCTAAATCCCCTTGAGCTACCTGTTCCTCTGAGGACTCCGAATCAGCCTCGATCTCAATCGGGTTGTCCTCATCACCCGACTCTAGCGAAACTTCAATCCGCTCTTCCTCTGGCTCATCCTCAGGTTGCTCTTCTGGTTCTAATTCCGGATCTCCTTCCGGTTCCTCTTCGGGTTCTTCTTCCGGTGCCTCTTCAGGCTCTTCTTCGGGGTCTTCTTCTCCGGGTTCCTCCTCTAGCATTGTACCTAGATCCACATCCATAGGATTATACCCTGCCTGTGATTCCTCTGGCTCTGGGTCAGGCTCAGCTACTGAAGGTTCGGGTGCTGCGGGTATGTGCTGATGTCCTGACTGGGCGAGACTAATATCCATACTAGTCATCTCACCATCGGGAGGGGGAATGGCCGACGGATCCCAATCCCCTACTCCGTCAAAGGGAACATCAAAGCCACGGACGGGGCCAAACTCATCTATCCCGTCCCGAAAGCACCAGGCAGTATTGGTGTGGGCTTGCCAAAGAGGTTGCCCTATGTCTACCCAGACTACGGTAGTATGCTTGATCTAGGTCATATTCTCGTCTATCGGATATTCTATCACATTATGGTCGGTATGCATCGGAATACCAAAACGCTGCGGTGGCGGCGGTGGAAGATTCATGGTTTAGGCCGGGGTTCTGAAATTGTTTGGTTGAAATAACCATGAGAACACATTTCAGCAAGTACACACCCTAAACCCCACCTAGGCTAACACGTACCTCCAGATAAGTTAAAACACCATAACACTCAATAAGCACATCACAGGCACACAATTGCACTTACCTGGGCTTTTAATACGTGCCACCTGCACGTTAGCCACAATAACACAAATTCCAACCACATGCATATTTCAAATAAATTCTCATGCCCAAAAGCACATGTCGAACACATGACATTTCCGAACTCCACATTTCACACTCATTCATGCACTACCACACCATTTTCATTTAACTTTCCAACGACCCGTGTAAACACGCCTCGGGTTTGATCTCACTTTCACTTGCCACAACACACGTCTCATTCTCATTCTCTTTCTACAGCCCGCGTAAACACGCCTCAGGCTACACATTCTTATCACAACCCGTGTAAACACGTCTCAGGCTCGATCACATTCTTACTTGCCACATCGTACATCTCATGCTCATTCTCTTTCCACAGCCTGCGTAAACAAGCCTCAGGCTTTACAGTCGTATCACGACCCGCGTAAACACGCCTCAGGCCAGTTCAATTCCCCGCGTAAACACGCCTCAGGGATTTAGTGATCACACGAACATGCCAACACGTCGTATTTTATCTGTACCCCGCGTAAACACGCCTCATAGCTTTTTAGTGATCACACGCACATCGCACGCCTCAAATCTCACACTTACACATACTCGGGCATTAATCATACGTACTCCAATGCATCAAATCCGACCGTCACAATTCAGCCCACAACAAACATACAACCATCATACAACATGCCATTTTACATCGTAAACCATGGCACAACTATCACAACACTACACGACAATTTCACGCAATTAATTGCTAAATCAAAACATCCAATCTACGTGCCAAATAGAAAATTACAGCATTCAAATCAGCCTATCACAGCCCTTATTTGGCCTCTAATTTACCACCAAAATACCACAATTTCATCCCTAAGGCCCCTCATCCAATTCAGCCCCTAAAACCAAACTAAACCGTGTCTAAACGAGCCCGTTAATACTCGATATCCTAAATAGGGTTTAGATTGTAACTTACATGAAATTTCCAAGCAAGCACAACCTATCCAAGGGCGACAAGGCGGCTGGGACGCGGCGGCTATGGCGGTCCGGCTGAACGGCGGCGATCGGCGACGGCGGCGACGGCTTGCTTGGCCGGCTAGTCACGGCCACGGGAGAGAGAGATCGCCGAGAAGGAGGGAGAGAGAGACGGCAGTGGTGTGAGGGAGGTGAGGGCACGGCTCGGTGACCAGACGGGCGCCGATGGGCGAACGGTGGCCCGGGACGGTGGCGGTACGGCCAAGGGGAGAGGGGGCGATCGGCCAGTGGGGAAGGGAGAGAGAGAGTGTGTGCTGAGAGAGATGGGAGAGAGAGTGAAGGGAGAGAGAGAGAAAAAGGCCTAAATATACCAATAATTGGTGTCCCTTTTTGGTAAAATGACCATCTTGCCCCTCTCTCTACTTTCCAATCGACGGCTACGATTCGTTCTTATCTTGAAATCAACGGCCAAGATTAATCCTTTCCCAAAAATATCTAAGGGTAAAATGGGAATTTCACAAAAATCCAAGGGCAAAATTGTCCAAAAATTGTCATTTCTAAAGTGAGGGTGAAATGACCAAAATGCCCTTCTCCATTTACACTTGGCCTTAACAAAGGCCCAAGGGTAAAACGGTCATTTTCCATTTCTTGTCGAAATTCGATTTTTCTGAAGGATTCGGACGATTCTAAGGCTGATCATGCTAATAACAACGTTGTCCAAATGTTATGTCGTGACTTTCTAAATTTTCAATGCCCAACTTGGTCTCTAATTAATGATTAATTTAATTAACGTAACTTAAACGTATCTCGAACTAACGGGTGGATTTTGGGAAAATTCGCACATTCGACCCGTGGCCGATACTAAATCAAATCACGTTTAAGTTCACTCGGGTCGTGACGACCTCGGTTGTCACTTAATCGCGAGGATCGATCGCTAGTTCCAATGGGCGTGATCGTTTGGTATAGGTTTATGGTTAGTCATTAATTCATCTCGTGGTCAGGCGGAATCACCCGCGATCCACTCGTATGACAGCGGCGAACTGATCTCTAACTATCCTTGGATCGGCCTACATTGGCTCAAAATGTCACCTCGACAATTTTTATGGTCAAAAGTCAGTTCACGATCCAGTTCTTTGGTCGCGCGAATTTAAATCCCTAATTAGCTATTCCCTATTGGTTAGTATCCCAGGAGTGATCAGTTCCGGGCGAGATCTAACTACAAACACGTCCATAAATCATCCATTTCATAAATTCCAAGTGGGTCAGATTTCAGAATGTCACACAGAGGAAGAATCTATTCTGTCAGGTTTATTCGAAGAGAATACCATCAACGTTATCATAACTGAGGCAGAAGACACCTACGCACTGAAGTAGGAAGATTCTCTTGAACTTTTGCTACTAGCTTTTTCCATTGCATTTTGTTGATTACAATTTCAAATTTATTGTGATTTCATTTGCAATTTTAGTTCAGTTGCAATTTACATTCCTGTTGATATAGATATAATCACGTCTTTCAATTCAATAAAAGTGGTCAAATGTTTTGTGAAGGACATATAGAAATAAAACCAAACCTATGATGAACATTATCCTTATTCGTGAGGCTTGAGGTTTTGGGTTTCTATATTGCTCCTCATTGCGAAAATGATTTTAAGAGCAAGGAAGTCTGATGATAGAAGGATCAGCTCTGTCTTTATATTCTTTCAAAATAAATTTCAAAATGAATTTCCAAAAGGTTTTTTTATAGGACCACGTGCGTTACTTACTTCGTATGCAATTACTAATCATGTTTGTTACATGTTAGGCATGAGCACTCGCATATCCATAATTGGTTCATATGTGGCCCAAATCTTTCTAAGAAGATCACTTGCGATATTGAAAAGGATAATGAGGATGAGGAATGGGTCAGAAAGGAATGGATTCATCATGGAGAATTAAAACCACTCACATTAGAAAAAATGATCACTATTAATCTGGGCGATAAAGAGAATCCTAAAGAAATTAAGATTGGAGAAAGTCTTTCCTCGGCAGAAGCAGAAAGAATCATAGATTTGCTCAGAGAATATCAAGATATATTCACATGGTCTTATGCTGACATGTCAGGCCTTGATCCGAGCATAGTTGAACATGCTTTGCCAATCGATCCAAGTATTCCACTAAAGAAGCAGAAACTTAGGCAAACGAAGTCGGACTTAGCAAAGAAAATAGAAGAAGAAGCGATGAAATTGCTCAAAGTCGGTTTCATTGAAGTAATGCCATATCCAGAATGAGTTGCCAACATAGTACCCATAATGAAGAAAGATGGTCGAGTATGGGTGTGCGTTGATTATCGCGACCTAAATAAAGCAAGCCCTAAGGATGATTTCCCGCTCCCACATATCGATGTATTAGTGGATAGCACTGCTGGGTTCAAAACATTTTCATTCATGGATGGTTTCTTAGGATATAATCAAATCCTCATGAAGAAAGAGGATAAGGCAAAGACGTCCTTCATAACACCATGGGGCACGTTTTGTTACAAGGTGATGCCTTTCGGTTTGAAAAATGCTGGTGCCCCATATCAAAAGGTAATGGTAACTTTGTTCCATGACATGATGCACAAAGAAATCGAGGTATATGTGGACGACATGATCGCAAAATCCAAATAAGGAGAAGATCATGTTGAGGTGCTTCGCAAGTTGTTTGAAAAACTTAGAAAGTACAAGTTGCGACTAAACCCCAACAAGTGTGTATTTGGGGCAAAATCTAGTAAACTGCTAGGATTTGTGGTCAGTAATAGGGGCATCGAAATATATCCCTCCAAGATCAAGGCAATATACGACTTAAAGACTCTTTTTACGGTAAAAGAAGTGAGAAGCTTATTGGGGCCATTAAATTACATTGCCCGTTTCATCTATCAGCTTTCTGAGAGTGCTAAATCATTCTTTAAATTGTTGAAGAAAAATGCCAAAGTAAAGTGGGATATAAAATGTCAACAAGCCTTTGACAAGATCAAAGAATATCTGGTATGCCCACCAGTGTTGATACCACCAATCCCTGAGGTGCCGCTGATCTTATATTTGACGATTCACTATGAGTCGTTAGGAGCGGTGCTTGTACAAAGAAGACCAAATGATGGTAAAGAACAAGCCGTTTATTACTTGAGCAAGAAGTTCACAACATCATAAATGAATTACCCGGCCGTCGAAAAGACATGCGTTGCGTTGATTTAGGTGTTACACATATTAAGGCAATACACCCTCCATCATCAAATTTTGCTAGTGACTGAGAATGATCCGATCAAGTACCTTCTTGAGAAATCCTCCTTGGTCGGGGAAATTGGCAAAGTGGCAAGTCTTGTTATCTGAATTTGACATAAGAAGTTCATCCCAAAAGTCAGTCAAAGGACGAGCAATAACAGACATGTTAGCGGAAAATTCGCAGAATATTGCCAATCCTGAAGAACAAATTGATAATCATATATTGACATTGGTCGACGATAAACGGACTATGTATTTTGATGGTGTAACCAACTTATCTAGATAAAAAACTAGAGCAGTACTGATCTCCCCAGAAGGCCAACACTATCCGGTATCTGCGAAATTGGTATTTCCATGCACTAATA